ATCGATCAACTCCCTCAGAAACACTGGCTGCTGGATGCAGCCCTGACTGGGCCATGGCATTGCTCCTGCTGGGACCAAAGCCAAAGGTTCTTGGGTAAAAGATCTTGCCCCTCTGATCAGGATCAGACTAATTGCCATATTTAGGGTCAGGAAGGAATTTTAACCCATGGTCATATGACCTGGAGGGGGTGGGGGGTTGCCTCCTTCTGTTCTGGGAGTTGTTTCCCTCTTCCTGGGATCTCTCAAGTATATTTTAACAAACTGCAGCAGCAGGACATTGGCCACCATGATCCCCCTGCTTTATCTGTGTCAGGTTTGGTGTTATGTCCTGTGATTGTATCAGGGTTGACTGGGAAGTTTTACCAATAGGTTGTTTGGACAGGGGTGATCCTGCCTCCTGCAGGAGGTTAGACTACATGATCACTGGAGGTCCCTTTCAGTCCTACTTTTCTATGATTTCTATGATGTCATGGACCCATTGAAATCAATGGGAGTTTTGCCATTGATTTTACTGGGGTTGGACTTTCACTCCTGATCCTGTCTATAACACAGCTGTAGACTACCCACCCTCCATGCCCTCAGCCCTACCCAAAAGACTTCAGTGAGATACAGCTCATGGCAAATCGTACCACAATAGGTGCCTCCATCAGCTTGAGATACTTGTGGATGTTGAGTGTGCTCAGTGGCTGCTCCATGGGAGTCCTTCTGCATGGCTGTGTTGGATCCATGACACGCTTACAGTGGCAGAAGAAGAGCTGAGCAGATAATCCATCAGCATCCTCAGTGCTGTGGGGGGGGGGGGAGAAAAAAAAATTATATATATAGGCTGTACTCGATACTGAATTTAATACCCCCTGAGGAGGGCAGGGCAGGGTTCAGGGCTTCTCCGCCCCCTTCCATGGGGTTCCCAGGTCATGTTCACATAGCAAGATCAAATGCTGATTTGCTGTAGGCCACATGCAGATGAAGAGTGAGTGAACTGGAAGATCTGAGGAAGGGCAAGTGTGTCCAAAAGCTTGCAAATAAAGGCTTTTTTTTGCAAATATCTAGTTGATCTAATAAAAAAAAAAAAAAACAAACACCACCTCTGTCATGAGTTCTGATTCCTGGAAAATCTAGGCTCTTTCCCAGCTCTACTACTGGTTTCTGGATCACCCAAGGCAAGTTGCTTCCTCTTTCTGTGCCTCAGTTTCCCCCTAGATAAATCTGGGACAACAGCACCAGTCTCGTTGAAAAGGCTGTGTGTCTCCATGTCTGATAACATCTGGATAGGGGACTAATCCTGATGAATCCTGCTTTTGCAACAGGACGGCCACAGACAACCAAATCCTAAATTGGTGTCGTGCCAGAGGTACCAAAGGCTTCCTCCAGGTAACTGGCCAGATAATTCTGCTTTTTCCTAGTGCAAGGAGAACAAGAGCATTACATGGGCATGCAGAAAGAATTCAAAAGGCCAAGGCATGAACTGAGATGCAGCTAGCAAGGGACAAAAAAAGAGAGTACTCTGCAAGTATGTCAGGACTAAGAGGAAAATCAAGGATTGTGCAGGTCCCTTCCTGAATGTTCAGAGTAATTAAACAGGGGGTGAAGCAGAGAAGCCTGAAGTATTTATTGCATTTTTTAATTTCAGTCTTCATGAAAAATGTCAGCAAGGAGATGATGAGCAGAGTTGGGAGCCAGGAGAACGAGCAGCCTAGACCAGAGGAAGACCAGGTAAGAGACGATGCAGAGAAGCTGGAGGCTTGCTGGATTGCTAATTGGCTGAAGGGTCGTACTCAGAGGGTGGTGGTAGACAGGTCATATTCGACCTGGGGGAAGTGGGCAGCAGAGTCCCCCAGGGCTCGGTCCTTGGGCCCGCACTGTTCAATTTCTTTATCAGCGATTTGGACGACAGGGTGAAAAGCAGCCTGTTCAAATTTGCTGATGATACCAAAATCTGGGGTGAGGTGGGCATGCTAGTAGGGAGGGAAAGACTGCAGAAAGACCTGGATAGGTTGCAGGGGTGGGCTAACAAAAACAGGATGCGTTTCAATACGGACAAGTGCAGGGTGCTGCACTTGGGCAGTAGTAACCGGCAGCACACTTATACGATGGGAAACTCCATTCTTGAGAGCACGGTGGCAGAAAGGGATCTTGGAGTCATCATTGACTCCAAGATGAACATGGGCCGACAATGCGAAGTCACGGTCGGCAGGGCTAACCGGACCCTATCGTGCACCCACAGATGCATCTCAAGTAGGGCCAAGGAAGTGATCCTCCCCCTCTATGCAACACTGGTCAGGCCACAGCTGGAGTACTGTGTCCAGTTCTGGGCGCCGCACTTCAAGAGGGATGTGGACAACGTGGAGAGGGTCCAGAGGAGGCCACCCGCATGATCCGGGGACAGCAGGGCAGACCCTACAATGAGAGGCTACGGGACCTGAACCTGTTCAGCCTTCACAAGAGAAGGCTGAGGGGGGAGCTTGTGACCGTCTATAAACTCACTAGGGGGGACCAGAAAGGTTTGGGGGAGACCTTGTTTCCCCTAACACCCCCCGGGATAACAAGGAATAACAGCCACAAGTTGTTGGAGAGCAGGTTTAGATTAGACATCCGTAGGAACTACGTCACAGTCAGGGCGGCTAGGATCTGGAACCAACTTCCAAGGGAAGTGGTGCTGGCTCCTACTCTGGGGGTCTTTAAGAAGCGGCTCGATGCCTACCTGGCTGGGGTAACTTGAGCCGTTTCCCTCCTGCCCAGGCAGGGGGTCGGATTTGAAGATCTACAAGGTCCCTTCCGACCCGACTTCTATGATTCAGGTTGGAAGAGCCAGAAGGGGTGCACCCAAGTGTATTGAAGGAATTGGCTGAGGTAATTTCAGAGCCATTGGCTATCCTCCCTGAGAACTCATGGAGGTTAAGTGAGGTCCAAGATGACTAGAAAATGGCAAATGAAGTGCCTGTCTTTTAAGAAAGGGAAAAGAAGGATCTGGGGAATTACAGACCAGTTAAGGAGTCTATTGTGAAGCACCTAGAGGAGAACACAGTGATTGGGAACAACCAGCATGGACTCAGCAAGAGCAAGTCATGCCAAAGTTACAGGTTCTGTGGTGGGTGGAAGAGCAGAGGATGTGATATACCTTGACTTTAGCAAGGCTTTTGACACTGTTTTCCATGACATCCTCATTAGTAAGCTAAGGAAATACAGACTAGGTGAAAGCGCTGTACGGTGGATACATAACTGGTTGGATCACCATATTTCATAAATAGTCATCGTGTATTGATCACAGGTGTTAAGAGGTGCATTTCCTGACCAGCAGAGTTGGGCCAAGTTCTGTTGGCCAACTTCCCTCATGTAGAGGCAGCTGTGCTTTGTTTTACTGCTAGAGATTTTCCCAGTTTTACCAAAGCAACACGAAGCATAGCTTGACTGGTATGGCCACATCCACCTCCTGCAGGAGGCACTGTGAGGGCTCATTCAGTCCCATATGAGGTGCTCAGACACTGAAATAATATGGGCCATTTAAAGTGAAGATATATGGACCAAAGCAGGCTGGGAAAAAAAGAAATCGCTTTTAATATCGAATGGAGTTAAGCACCCTCATCCCTCCCAGGGGAAGTCAGGCCCACCTCTTTTCAGCTAAACCCCACTGTTCTCAGTGGAAAGTAAGGGTCTGGAGGCCCTGGGGGATCTGGGCTTCAGTGTCTCTCAGGGTCAAGTCCGCAGCTTGGTCTGATCTTCAGCATCCACTCCCTATGTGGCAGTTGTGGGATTACAACCCTCAACAGTATGAGTGGCTCTATGGGTGAACCCTGATATGCCTCTTCTGCATGATTACAGGGTTAAACCATAAGAGTTTAAAATACCAAGGCACAATATGGCAAGTGATGGGCAAAACCCTACAGTTTAGGCAGTACAACCGAAAGGAGGAGGGTTGGTTTCAGGGCACTGGGATACAGGCAGTCCTCAACTTACAACGTTTCGCGTTACAACATTTATAAATTGATGCCCTGTTTCAACTTTCTGATGTCAGTTTAGACTTTACAACACTTGATCCGATGTGACGCCACACCAGCGAACAAACTCGCTGTGTCACCCATCTCCCTGGAGAACATCTGTCCAAACTTCCTTGGACGCTTTCTTTAAGAAAGCAGACAAGACTCCATAAAAACCTGCAGCCAAGACCCCTGAGAAGACTCCAGCCAAGAGCCCTCCAAAAAGTCCAGCAAAGTCACCTCAAAGAAGTCCTTCCAAATCAATACGATTGCTATTTACAATATAAATACATTGATGTAGCTATATTACTCATGTATAATTGATCAAGTACAAAATTCTGGGGTATTTTTGGTGAAAACGGTATCGGGCCTTGGTTCAGGAACAAACCCCCCATTTATAACATTGTTTCTTATGAGAAAATTGGTTCCCAGTTACAATGTTTTGTGGTTTTCAGGAACCAATTGTGTCATAAGTCTGAGGACTGCCTGTATTTGCAAAACAGGCAGTCAGGCTCACGTGTCCCTCCTTGTCAACTGTTGTCATTTGCTGTACAAACTGGTGAGATTCCTCAAATGTGTCCCTCTTCAGAGAGACCTCAACAAACTGGAGGTTTGGACCAAAGAAATCTCATGAGGTTCGATGATCCATTGAGGTCCCTTCCGACCCTAGCATCTATGAATCTAAGTAGAAAGTCCTGCATTTAGGATGTAACAACCCCATGCACCGGGACAGGCTGGGCAGCAGCTCTGTAGATAAGGACGTGGGGGTGACAGTGGACAGTAAGCCAAATATAAGCCACCAGTGGAGAAGAAGGCTAACAGCATACTGGGCTGCATTAGTAGAAGCGCTGCCAGCAGATCAAAGGAAGTGATTCTTCCCCTCTATTTGGCACTGGGGAGGCCACATCTGGAGTCCTGCGTCCAGTTTTAGGCCCCCCACTACAGAAAGGATGTGGACAAATTGGAGAGGGTCCAGTGGAGGAGAACAAAAACAGTTTGGAGGCTGGGGCAGATGACTTGTGAAGAGAGGCTGAGGGGACTGGGCTTATTTAGTCTGGAGAGAAGACTGAGAAGGGATTTAACAGCAGCCTTCAGCTCCCTGCCAGGAGGTTGTAAAGAGGATGGAGCTGGGCTGTTCTCAGTGGGGGCAGATGACAGAACAAGGAGCAACGGGCTCAAATTGCAGCAAGGGAGGTTTAGGTTGGACACTAGGAAAAGCTCTCACCAGGAGAGTAGTAAAACACTGAAACAGGTTACCCAGAGAGGTGGTGGAATCTCCATCTTTGACCCACTAGACAAAGCCTTGGCTGGGATGGTGTAGTTGGGGCTGGTCCTGCTTTGAGCAGGAGGCTGGACTAGATGCGACTGCCAGAAGTCCCTTCCAACCCTCATTGTCTACGATTCTATGAACACTTTCAGTTGGGCACAAGGGCAAAGGCTTGTGCCACTGCTGCAAGAACCGAGTGATGACAATGTGCACCTAAATTTCCAGCAGCTGGTATCAAAAGAAAGATTCTCACTTCCTGCCCAGCCCTGTGAGGCTATATCTACACAACCTCCAAACCAAGCTCAGGACTGCCTCTCAAACAAGCCTCAGGACCCTTCTAAGCCATTTACTTTGCCAATAGCCAGGCTTTGGCATGCATGGAGCCGGACAGAGTGGACAGGGCTCATTTCTTACCTTTAGCCCCAGGTTCAGCAGGGAGGGGGCACAGACTTGGCCTAACACAAAAATAGAGCAAGTTCAGACCAACCCCTTTCTCTGTGGGCTGTACATACCTGACACTCTTCAGCAGCGACACTTCAGTGGTTAGAATAAACTGGTGAGCAGTGCCGTACACAAAAGCTGCTTCCATGACTGCTCTGTGCTCTGAAACAAAATGTGTTCTGGTCCATATGGGGTAGGTAGTCTAATGAATACCATATAACATACCCCTGAATAAAACATGTACCTTGTTTTCTGAAAGTCATAAAAAGAGGGAAACAAGTTCTTTCCTTTAGAGTCTTTGCTGGGAAGGGGAGCGCGGTGGGGGAAAAAATAAAATAAAAGGTCCACAGCCAACAGCTAGCGAGAGGTTTAAGTGGCAAAAACCACTGTTGCTGTATTTCCTCAATTATAAAATGTGTGCCTCAAATTTATAAACAGATGAATCTTTTTGGGGGGGGGCAGGGAATATGCATATCCATGTAAGAAAATACAGTCTGTTCTGATTCCATCCCACTCCCAGCGCACAGATACCCTGGACCAGTTTTCAACATCAGTATTCAAGAAAACATCGCTATCTATTTACCCACTTGATTTGTAAGCCTGTCCGTAAAATATTCGTGGTGAAAGAGATTGTTTTAACAGTGAAGCCAAGCAAAATATCTGCCAGAGATTGTCTAGGTACATCTGATCCTGCCTCTAGGGAATGGCCTAGATGAGCTGTTGGGGTCCCTTCCAGTCCTACATTTCTGGTTCTGTGCTGGGATGCCGGACTGGGTCAGAAATTCAGTCCTGTACAACCAAAGTAAAATCCTACTGACAGGAAATGAAACTGAATGGGTAACTGTAGTACCTGCTGTTCCAATCGCTGGTACGTAGGCAAAGACGACATTCAGTCTTCCCTTCAGGGAATTTTCTAGATTCTGATGATCCACAGCCGATGCAATATATTTAACTTCATTAAAGAGAAGTGCACTGGGGAGACACACAAATCTCATTCATACTGGTCTCGTTTAAGGGGAAAAAGAAAACCTGCACTCACTGAACCACTACAGGCGGGTACATCTCTGCATCCCCACCTGCACTTGCAAATCAGGAACAGAGAACAAGCGCTTGGATTCACACCTATAACTCACACTGTGGGTAGAGATTTTGCAGGGCCAAACTACTGGTCCAGATGGAGCTATTTTACTGTTCTAGACAAAATTAAATTTTTCTGCCCTTCTCCACCACATTTGCATAGCAACCAATCAAAGCCACCAATAACTCAGGAACTTCTCCTCCTCAATTCCTTCCTCTGGGAACTTCTCCCCAATTCCTCCACCCTGGGCTGCTGTCTGGTTTGTCCACTGAACAGGCCAGCCTGGCCCAAGCCCACCACATAGAAAGAGGGCAGGCAACAAATGTAAGTACAAAGGAAATGATTCACATGGATGGAGCTGGTCTCTACTTACAACAGGACATTGGCTACTATAGCGTTCACGTTGAACAAGGCATCCGTAGGGAATTCTCTGAGCAATATGTTCCCTCTGGGGAAGACAAGCCAAGAAAGAACACAGATAGACAAGACAGACAGATGCATGGGTTATTCATCATTTTAGCTGTGCTAACTGTTTCTTGGTATCTTTTCTTTTAAAGCGAACAAGTACCATTATGATCAACTTGTCTGATCGCTGGCAAAACCCAGACCTCAGAGTTCCTGCACTTCCGAGAGCAAATAAGAGGCTCATCAGCAAAAGAAATCACTAGAATGGAAGAATAAAGCATTCTTGCAACATGAGTCTAAGTCAATGGGAGCTGCGAGCCTAAATCTCCTAAGATGCTTTTAAAAGTCCCATTGCATGATGTCCAAGAGGCTTCTGCTCTGATAATACAGGATCAGCCCTAGGGTTATCCCTACATTTCTAGAGCACATGTGTTAGTTCAACAACTCAGCAGGAACATCTCAAAGAGAAGAAGTCTGTTTCTGGACCAAAACCAAAGACCCCAGAAGTCCATGGGAGTCTTCAACCTAACTTCAGCGGGCGCAAATGTACGTTCTGTGTGGTACGCAGCCCCCTTTCATGGCCAGGCTATGGTTGCCACCTGTGAAGTAGCACTGGCTGGGAATTCTCCAGCATAATGTTCTCAAAGGCCAATGCAGTTTCCACCAAGGCAAAAAAAAACTTTCCACAGAGAAAATCTGCATTTTGCCAAAACGTTTCAAGTTTTCCCATTGAGAAAACAGAAATAAAAGATTTCATTTCCAAGAGGAACCAAAGCAGCCAAGCTGGCTGCAGCGCTTCAGGGACTTTTTGTTCAAAACACCTTCATGCCTCCCCATCCCCATTCTCATCTAGGGGCTACTCTAAGGCCGGACTATATTTCCCATAATGTACCCCAGCTTCTGCACTGCTCCATTTGTACATCACAGGAGTCACATGATCATAATCCATTATGGGAGATGCTGCCTGTTATCTCCCCCACTGCGAAATCCTAGTCTAGTCATCTTCCCCGTTCTCCTTAAACTCCCTTGCTTGTTAGACAACAACACTTGCTCTAGCACCTCTTTCAAACTCTGTGTCCAATGGCTGCAGCTGGCTCAGATAAACAGCTATTTCATCCAGGATAATGTCAAGAAATGTATTTCCATCAGGAAAATTGTATTAAAATGTTCCCAGGTAGCTAACCACGAGGTACCCAAATGCCTTCCAACTGACTCATCCAGTTCTGTTCCCAGAGCTCTTCCTCTGACATCCTTCCAGGGATACAGGACCACTAGTACAAAGTCTCACTGGTACAAAGTGAGACAGCTCTATTGAAGCCAACTACACCAGTGACAGATGAAGCCACTGTATTTTCCCAGTGAGCCCCATATGCCAAGACAAAGTAGGCAAGACTTTCAGTATCCATTCCACCTGGCCATACACTGGCCGGGAAGACACGTGGAGCAGAGTTCAGAAGAACCACCAGAGCAACAAGGTGCCAAACAGCCTTCCAACAGTAACAGACAACCTAACCAGGTTTAAGAGGCACCTTGACTGATTTCTGAAGGAAATGAAATGTTGAGGGTCAGTGATTCAGGAGGTCCCTTCACACCCCATGTTCCTATCCACCAAAGCCAAGATTTGCACTTGGCATCTTTCATGCCGATTCTTCCCTGGAAGGCAGAGGTTTCCTCCCTGCATTCTCAGAAGAACGCAGCAAACCAGCTACAAACTGAAGCAGGGTCTCGTCACAGCTCTTCACCCAAATCTAGGGTTGCCAACTCTGTTTGAATTTATTCCAGGAGGTTTCCGGAGTACAATTATGCCCGCGTGCATCAGTTATGGCTTACAGTGAGTAGACTTTACATCAGGAAGGCAAATGCACATTACTATTACATTTAAAAAACCCACTGGACTACTGTAACAGTTATATTCAACATTTAATATTTATTTTAATGAATGCCCTATTATTTATCTCCCGAGTGACTCTCGGCAGTCTCCTGGAGACTTATATCTAATTCCTGGAGACTCCAGGGCAATTCTGGAGGGTAGCAACCCTACCCAAGTTGGATATATACCCATTGTTACATTTCTCTTGGACCCGCTGTGTCACAGGGTTTTCTTAACACCTTTTAACAGAGTCATAGTCAGGAACAATCCAGCATGTTTTCTGTAGTCCCTACCGTACAGTGACAGTCTGCTGACTTACCTGAACAGATACGCTTTCAGTAAGGTATTTTGCTTCCCACAATATCGTGATACATCTTCTTTAGGACAATTCACCTGGCCATTAAAACAAGTCATTATAAATTCAAATGTGAATGGAGCTACCAGTTCATGAAGTCACAACTATTTTATGATCCAAATGCATTAAGACTTATGGCCTTGTTCTACTCTACCTATTAGGTGGCCAAGTGTGATCCTGCTCCACTCTGCTCAAATCCCTGCAAAACAGCTAACACAAAAGGCAGAAATGGTCCCTTCTTGCTACCACTTTGGTGACTTTGCCTTAAAGGGTAAAACGATGGCATGTTACAAGAGTAGGAACTTCTTAAGCCACTTAGGCACCTAATAGATTAAATAGGACCTAGTCTCTACTGCACAGATACAATGCAATTAAGAACTAGTATTAATCGTATCCAGAGTTATGGGTAGAGTTTTAAAAGCACAATGGTCAGAAAACTCAAAATCATGCTTCTCCCAAAACACCCGATTGGCCCGTCTTGATTCTCAGGTTTTAAGACCAGGATGGACAGATCAATCATTTAGTCTGGCTTACTGCCTCCCAAAGACATGTAATTTCACCCAGTTACTCCTCTGTTGAGCCCAGCTGGTGGCTGATGGGTCACACTTCCATACCTGTGCCTGTGAAATCTGATCCAGTGGGAGGTGTTGTGGAGAATCCCGATTTTCAGTGTGCCTGGTAACAGTAACAGTGCATTTACCCTGCACTGCACAGGGTTTAAAATAATGGCATGGCCACACAAGTACATTCTCCCATGCACTGTGCAAGGAATCACAGTCTTCCATCACCCAGAGCATTCATTTCACTACAGCCACTGAAATAACATGCACCTTCATGTGCTCAATTTACCTCTTGGAGCTACACAACCCCTTTAGACCAGAGGAAGGGGCACTAAACAAGCTACATTTCTCTTGAACAGGCTGTGCTGATGCCCACTGACAGGGGCAGATCCAGAGGGGGTGCAGTAACCTGGCTGCAAACCCCTGTTGGACTGGGCCACACCATGAGCACCTCTGGGGACTTTTTAAAGTTCCCAAAGTACATAAGAATCTTCCCTTCCCCTCTCTCTTCCCAACTCCGGCTCCAGCAACACAATCTGTGGACACTGGTGGTTGGGAGGTGGAGATTCTGGGAGGAGATTCAGCAGCCTCTGCAGTGCCCGTAGCTTCTCCTGCACCCTGCTTTGCTAAGTCCTGGATCTGCCCCTGCCCACTGATGCTAGGGACATACCATATACAAGTAAATAGCCCTCTAAAATTGGCAGGGGTGTCCGATGTGGGGAAGTTGACTTTTCTGCACTGAAACAGAGACAGAGAGGAATATCAGAGCACACCTCCTGCTTGCTTATGGCTGCCAGAATGGCTGTGGCTTGTCTCTTGCCCAGCAAAAGGGACAGAGTGCTGTGCTAGTCCTCTTGCAGCCATAGCAATTGGCTGAGCTCTGTAGTTTGTGCTCAATGGAGCAGGTCAAATGAGCTGCTGCATGCAGCCTGTAGTATCCTGATGAAGCTTATCGTGGGGAAACAACACTTTATTGCACTAGTTACAGGCACTTATATAAGGAACTATTTGCCAAAAAGGCTCTGGGGCTGAGACTTGTTTCTGTCCTGCCACACCAGAAGTTCCTGCTGCTTCACCCAGACTGTCTGCGAGGATACCATAACTTCCTGGACACACTGTGTTTCCAAGACTTACTCTATGTCACGCAGTTGGCTGTGGCTCAGGAAAAATCTTTTCTTGCACATTGCACCTTCCAAAAACAAGGCGTGCGAGTTGTTTGGGGGTGTGTGGCATGCAAGAAAGTACAGTAATCCTCCAAGGTCTAGAGCACCCTGATAATGGAGAAATCTGTGCATCCCAGCTATCAAAAATAAATCACACTGGAATTTACCTTCACAACAGAAATCCCGTAGTCCTGGAGAGGTTCCACAGAGCTTTCTATCTGTTCCAGGAATGGACGGACACCTGGAGAAACAAACACAAACGAAAAGGGGTTTCATCGTATTTGTGTAACAAACAGATACAGAGGACAAAACCCAATGTCACTTTAACCATCTGGGCCGGGCTGTGACACCCTCCTTAAGCAATAACTCACTCCACAGGAATCCCATTGACTTCAGTAGGACTGTACATGATATAATGCATGTCTGGTATTACAGTCTGTCCCTATAATAATTTGGCCCTCTTGCCTCAGTTTCCCATATTACAGAGAGGAGAACTACTTTTCCCCCCCACCCTCAATCTTATCAATCTTGTAGAGGGCTTCAGCATGGGGGGGAAATCCTTGAATCAGCACAGGCTCCCTCCTGACATCAATGTGACCTTGTTGGGAAGCAAATGCAGAATCAGGGCCTTTGACTGCCAGTTCTTCTGGCCCATGGCACTCTCTTGCTATGTTTATGTACAGCACCTAGCACAGGAGGGCTGTGCTCTTGCTTGAGACCTCAGACTGCTCCTGTAATGGAATGATGATGAAGATGAGAAAGGAAGGTGAGAAACTTTTTCTTCAAGTGCCTGCTATCTTTGCATCTAGCTATAACCATTTCCATAACAAATAACCAGCACTAAAAAAGTGGAGTGTAAGAAATCATAGAAAAGTCAGGCTGGAAGGGACCTTCAGAGGTCATCTAATCCAACACCTTGCCTGAGGCAGGATCATCCCTATTCAAAACATCCTATACAGATGAAAGGAAAGAGCTTTGAAATATTATTAAAAGAAAAAAAAGGAGCATTGCTAGCTACAGTCTGTTCCCATCTTTAAGTACATATCTTAAGTCTAACAACTGATGGACAGCCTCAGCTAGGCAAGCTTTAAGGCCAGGTGAAGCAGATGGCAGCTGACCCTAGCGAGAATTTAGGGGCAGTAAAAAAGCAAATTTGCAGAAAGCCACATATAATTTACTGGAGACAATTGTTTCCTGCTCAAATTGTTAATGTTTGGAACCTGTTGTTAGCCAACAGCAAGTGGCAGGTAGTGCTTTCTACCTGCACAATTCGTTCCCTGTCTGGTTGTTTCGAAGATCCTAGAGCAGTTTGTATTTGTCTGTATGTGTAGCCAGCCAGCAGGCTTCCCCAGTAGTGCAAATCGTCCTGATGGACACTGACAGCAATGCTGCCAATTCTTTACAAACAAGGAAATGTGTTTTTTTTGAAGATGAGCATTGCAAAAGAAAGGCAGAAAGAAGCCAACAGTACAGAACATGGTCGAATGCATTCTCAACTCAGCTGTTTTGCTTCTGACTGCTGCATTTTCCCATCCAAAATGATCATACAAATAACGGTGCACCTACTTCTGAAGACAGCTTCCTTCGTAAAGGAAGTTTTAATTTTTTCTGATAGATCTAAAAGAAAAGAGCAAGAAGAAAGTGCTGTAACCAATGAGGCAGCTCCATCCGTGGATGCAGGTATGTCTTCGAGCAATAGTAACTCGATGCAACTGCACTGTTATTCAAGGAATAAGAAAGAATCTACAGAAGAGGCAATTTGGAGTGATGTTCTAAGAGATCCACACAAACGGCCTTTGCTTGTGAATGTTGGACCAGTGCAAACAAACTGTAAGGATTTCCCTTTGGACATAGATGAAGGAAAATATCCAGCTTTCCATTTTCCACACCAGCTTTCAAAGAAAGAACAGGGCTCCTGTCTCTATTCCGCTTCAGCTGTTTCTGTTTATTGCTTCTGCTGCAAGTTATTTAACTCCAGAGACTTTGTTTTATCCAGGAATGGTGTTCAAGACTTTAAAAACATATTGAATAGCCTAGTGAAACATGAGAAATCAGCAGAGCGTGCAAGCGCATGAAGGGAGACTTACAAATCAGATTGAAGCAAGATTGTATGACTGATAAAAAAAAAAAAAAAAAAAAATAATCAGCACTGGACTATTTCTTTGGTAGAACACAGGGAAACTGTTTTGGAAAGTCAGACTTGATCAGACTACCGAGAGTGGAAAACCTTCCCCTGTGAGGTTCAGTGCATTGGTGCCATTCATCTCCCAATGGGATTGTTTTAAATTTCTTTCTTGGAAGATAAGAAAGTGGACTTTCCTGGGAGATAAAATCTTATGAAGAAAGAACACCGCTGACACATTATCTCAAAGGAAATTCGTAATCATTACCTCGGCCAAAATAGTCCAGATGCAATTACTTAAATTCTTGAGAACATGATCAAGAAGGGAATGCTTTCTGCCTTGAAAGCTGTCGAGTGTCATTCTGTTGTATTTGACTGCATGCATCAGATTAATACGCAAAAAGAGGACAATGATTGTTAGATTTTTTCCCCTGTGGGAGCAGCCAGAGAAGCAAGAGAGCAGTGCTATGATCCAAGAACATTTTGTTGGACTTTTTGAACATGAGAAATTCTCCTAGCACTGGCATGATAGCTCTCCTTGAACGTTTAAAAAAAACCTGGAAAAAGTCACCAGTTTGAGAGGTCCTGGTTATGGCAATGGAGCAAATATGATAGGCAAAGACCACGTCATGCAAAAAGAAATTCAGTACCTTAACAAGAGAGCAATTTTGATACAGGAAACATCCTTTGAATCTTGTATGCAGCAACATCACCAGTAACTGTCCTCAGTTGTGGAATTTTTGAACATCATTCAAAGCGTTTGTAGGTTTTTTTGTAGCCTAAATCACAGCAGTTGTAATGCTCTGGTATGTGACTAACCTGTTTCCAAAACTCTTATGAGAAACAAGATGAAAAAGCAGAATTGATATGATCCATGTATTTTTCCCCAAGTTTCAGAAGTCTACGATGCTGCCGTTTCAGCTACCAGCGATTCAAGCCTAAACATCCTATGGAAGCCAAAGCTCGAAACCATACCAAACTACTTGCTCTCTAAATCTGTGACTACAAACTCCTGTGGTATTTTAACATGAAAACCTGGCAAGCAAAATGCTTCCTGCAGCCGAAGTGGCCATCAAACAAACTACGTGCCAGTTCTTCTTGTACATGATTCACATGTGGCCTCATTGATGCTAAGGGAACTGGTTGGTGAACTGGAAAGTGAAGCTAGGCTCCTACAAGAAAAACATCAAACCAAAGTACAAATCAAAGAAAGAATGATTCATAGATGTTAGGGTTGGAAGGGACCTCAATAGATCATCGAGTCCGACCCCCTGCATAGGCAGGAAAGAGGGCTGGGTTCAGATGACCCCAGCTAGATGCCCATCTAACCTCCTCTTGAAGACCCCCAGGGTAGGGGAGAGCACCACCTCCCTTGGGAGCCCGTTCCAGACCTTGGCCACTCGAACTGTGAAGAAGTTCTTCCTAAAATGATTGATAACAAGGCCAGAGATGAACTGCTAACTGATCCAGACGAGACCATTAAAGGTTACATTTTTTCTAGGGGTGCACCGATATTTTCTCAACTGATACTGATAGCCGACTATTCACCAGGTAAATTGGCCGATATCGATCCAATAACCGATTTGCAGGAGCGCAGCCAGGCAGTGTGGTAGCAGCTCCCTGCAGGTAAGTCTGTGGAGGTGAAGGGGCATGGGGGTGCAGATCAAGGCCCCCACAGTGAGGGAGGGAGTGGAGCAGGGGCTGGAGGTGCTGCCCAGACAGGGTGGTGAACAGGACCCCAGGGCCAGGGCAGGGAGCAGGATGGAGCTGCGGGTGGCTCATCCAGGGGATCAGTGTCCTGGCGCTTAAAAATGACAGTGAGGGTGCTTGAACTAAAGCTTCTTAAATGAACTTTAGTTCAAGGCACCACCACCACCATTTTTAAGTGAGGAAACACTTTTAGAACTAGAACTGAGCAGGGCAAGGGTGGAGGCAAGCTGCCCGCTGCAGGCTGGGGGCTCTCTGCCCTGCTGCCTTTGCCATGCCAACAGCACATTCCCTGCCTGCCTGGCAGAGGGGGGCACAACTCACCGCCCCCAGTGCCGCTGCCGGGTGGGCAGGGGACACACAGCTAGTGTGTCACTCCTGGGGCAAAGGCAGCAGGGCGGAGAGCCTGAGCCCACAATGAGCAGCCCGTATCCGCCCAGCCCTGCACACAAATCTAGGGGGCACATGCATGCCCATGCCTCCCCCAGGGTACACGCAGCAGCAGACAGCTGCCCCCACTCCCCCATGGCTGCATCTTGCTCCCAGCCCTGCAGCCCCATTCACCACCCTTGCTGGGCAGCGCCCCCAGCTCCAGCCCCTGCCCCACTCCCTCCCTCACCGTGGGAGCCACAATCTGCCCCCACCCCCAAGCCCCTGCCCCTCCACAGACTTACCTGCAGATGCTGCTCTCCAAGCTGCTCAGCTGCATTCCTGGCTGCATGCATGCATGAGGCTGCATGCGTGCATACAACATCCAGGGGCCACAGCCAGGAGGCATATTATATTTATCAGTACATTATGGGCTACACCAGCCAAAAAAAGCCAGTAAGCTTAATTTTCCTTTTATCAATGCTGATCTGATATGGCACTGATATATCAATGCACCTCTACTTTTTTTTTTTTTTATTAAGGGTACTAGCATGTTGTCCCTTGAAAGACTTCTATAATTTGAAGAACACCACAGCATTATAGAAAGAGATGGAAGGGACCTCAGGAGGCCGTGTAGTCCACCCTCAGCTCAAGACAGGATCAGCCCTCTAAATCATCTCAGCCAAGTGTTTTTCTAACCTGCACTTAACTTCTTCCAATGACAGAGCATCCATGAGATGTTCAGGTTTATTATCATCTCTCTAAAACATTGAAAACACTCCACAAAGAAGTAGAAGCCACGCTGGAGTTTGTGCGCGTTTGTCCTAATCCACTGAACCCATTCACCTGCATGAGTCTGCCACACACACAGAGCGCAGGTTCTCTTAAATATAAGCTTGTAGACCCGTATCTGCTTCCTGCAATGGCTCATTCTCGTCTGGGGAGCCTCACTTTAATTTTAGTTGAAAGCTGGTTTGTAGAGTGTCAACCTGAAAGATGCTGTGTACAAGTTCACGCATGTTAACGCAAGAAACACCAAATTCACTACAGCAGCCAGTCGCTGGTACCAAGTCTCGAGGAAAAGGCTTTCAAGGTTTGGTAGAGCTGACAGCAAAGTTCTTTGCTTCGTTTCCTAGTGACATTCTCCCCAGCAAATAAGCACAATTAATTCTCTTATGGGTCCACTGGCAAGTCAGGATCCTAACAGGCAAGGACAGCAACAACTCCTGCTGCCTATCCTGAAAGGTGGAGGGCATCCATCACAAAACATGGCAGCTGGACTGGCTCCTGCACCCATGGTTAGGCTCCACAGCATCCCTAATAAGACCAAGGGGGTTGCAATATAGTTCTATAGGACAGGAACTCTCCCCTGCCTTGCAGCAGGGGATCGTACTGCAGTTCTTAAAAGCCTTTTTTCCCCACCTGGGTTAGTTATGGGGCTTTGACTAGCTGCAAGCCGGTCCATGAGACCAGTTCCACACGGCCTTCCCCTGCCCCCAACAGTGAAGTCATGGGGATCTGAACAGCAGCATCGACTCCAGGCTCAGGGACTAACACAGGAACAATGGTAAGCGAGAGCCCATAGTCTGACACGCTCAGGCAGAATATGCGGGAGGGGGTGGATTAGCTTCTCATCCAAGAGATGAATCTGATCGGTTCTCTCCCGTAATGCAAGATTTACCACTTCCAAGAACTGCAGTCGCCTGGTTTCCCCGTTCCCAAAGATAGGACTTTTCATCTCTGCGCTACTATTCATTCTCACAGTTCCAGGAGACTCTCTCTCCAGTTGCTCACTTCTCCTGCCTGCCAAGAATAATGAAAACATGCAGGGAAAATACATACCATCGTGACTAAAATAAACCAGAGATGCTTTGCCGGGTTGCAAGCTACTGAAATACTCTTGGGGGCTCAGCTCCAGAAGCGCATTTGCATTCCTTGCTGAAGACATGCAACAGGAACATAACAGCAGGAAGGAGAAGCCCGGAGCCCATCTGTTCCTTTTGGACGACATGATTCAGTCTGTCAACAGCGCTGTGGAGGGAATAGCTGAAGAAAAAAAAAAATCCCCATTAAATACCGCTGCCTGCTGTTTACATTGCTCCCCAGGTCCATAACTATACATTACAAGTTTGACAAGTAAAATGTCAGCCTACTCTGCTAGAAATCTAGCAGGCGGTTCCAGTTTCAGCAGACATCATGCTGATTGCAATGCGAGCCAGCTCTGTTTTGTAGGAGTTATATTCGTAAGCGCTAAACCCATCGTGGTTTGGGGCTGTTTTTCTTTTTCTTGAGACAGTCCAGCACATGACACAGGGAGAACTTTACAAGCTGGTTTTGCTGTCATACAGACCCCCAGTTCTGGTTATCACCTGATTGGGATCAGAAAAGCTTCCCATACTTGACTGAGAGAGACTTTCATGAACAAAGGGTTTCAGAAAGGACAGGGCTGGTTCTCTGCTCGTTCCCCCTTTCCATCCACTCTGCCTGCCTGGTGTGAGGGGCAGCCGCCTGTGGGCAGGCAAGTGGGTGGAAGGCGTCCAGGAGCTGAAGCTGCAGCTCCATGTGCTGGGGCGGGAGCCCTCGGCTGCAGCTTCCCCCCATCCCGGGGCAGCGCAGCAGGGGCTGGAGGAGGAAGAGGAGTCACTGGAGGCAGAGCGAGCTGAGCACTACCTGGGCAGCTGCAGCAGCACGAGGAGCAGTGGTCCATGCTGGCTGGGGCCGGCAGGCACGAGCACCTGCATCTGCACCGCCTGGGCGTGCTGTGCTGTATGTGCTCCCCCCCTCACCCCAGCCAGCCCCCGGGAACTAGTGCACAGGTAGCCCGCCCACACACATGTGCACACCCCCGTCCTCCACCACATTCCTCGCACACACCCCCATACCTCCCCACACACAACCTACAAGAGAAATACCAAGCTATTATGCAACTGCCTCTACATACACTACTCAAAATACATAAATCAGGACAAAAATGTTGTTGTTGAAATACAATTAAAATACATTATAGTAGAGGTTTGACTTTTATAGATAAAAAGCAAATCGTATCCTACTTTGTTACAATGATATCTTCTAAAAGATTTTGTGTGTGTGGCCCTCGACAGCTCACCAAAACTCGTTAAGTGGCCCGCCAGCCGAAATAATTCCCCACCCCTGCCTTAAGAGTGACATCCCCCCGCAGGCCCTATACCAGCGGCTCTCAAACTGTGGGTCATGATCCCAAATGGGGTCACAACGTCAGTGGTTGTAGTCACGATAAACAGGGATAAACTGCTGCCGGGTGGGTAGGGGGCACCTCAGCTCGGTGGCCATCGTGGCGCGGTGGTCCCTCCCGCTGGGCTGTGGAGCCCCCGGGGGGAGGGCAGCAAGGAAAAAAGCCCCAAGTAAGTGGCAGACAGCCTGTATCCTTCCCCCCAGGGCTCTGCTCTGGCTGTGCCGCCTGCAGGGGAGGGGACGGGGGTAGGAGTCGGGCTCCACGCTCTGCTCCAGCTGCAGCAGCCACCGTGTCCCACAGGCAGAAGCCAGGGCTTGGATGCTGCTGGGGGGGGACATGGGACACAGAGGGGCTGCAGGTCCTAGCTCTGGGGCACCTGGGGTGGGGCAGGGCAGCAGCAGCTGCCCCCAGTGTGGAGAGAGCTGGGGCAGGTAAGCCTCCCTACCCCTCTCCCGGTCCCTCGGGTGGTCAGCAGGAGCTCCCCCCACCTCTGGCCCATGTGAGGGTATATTTATCTGCAGAATACTCAGCCACTAAGTGTCACCGCTCGTCCAAACAAGTGGGGGGTGTCTCTAGTGAGCAGGAGAGACAAAGGGGGAATTCAAGCTGCGTAGAAGTCCATTTATTTTCCAAGACAGTTGCAGCAGTTTCCATCAATAAGCATCCCCTGTTTAAGACTGACAGCAATGCCACGCGCTGTCACATGCTGCGCTGCCATCTCGCTGCTCGTACGAAACTCAAGAACAAACAAAGAAAAATGCTCCTCTCGAACGACCGAGCCGGATTTGCAGGTCCTCTTTCTGGGAGCTTGAACTTTGCCTTTCCTGCTCGCAGGGCAGAAAATAAAAGGACTTTCCAACTTTAACTGCACATTAATTCCACGTTCTAGTAAGCATCCCCACCACTGCCTGCAATGGCATCTGTCAGCTCCCCACTTTGCATCCCAGGGGCATAAAAATAGTATGCTCTCTTCACCAGCTCCTTACACTTGCCTCGCAAAACCAGGTATTTTTAACTATCTCCTGAAAAACAGAATGACACTTCACTGTTCCCTAGCAGCCTTTCAGAGGGTAAAAAACAGCGATAAAGCACAAGGAATCCAATCTAAAAGCCATGGCAAGCAACAGGAAGACTTCTACTGGCTTCCCCAGACCACACTTTGATATGGAAATTAAGCTATAGGAGTCTACTATGGAGCTGCAAAAGGAAATCAAGATGTTATTTTCATTTGAAAGGCTCTGAATATGTCCCCCCTGCTTGCACAGCAATGACTTTGCTGCTTTGTTCACCTGGGTGGTTCATGGTGTGTTGTTAGAAGGAACATTTGCTAGACAGCAACATCTTGAGTCTTGGAAGAAGTGCCACGCTGTACCCTGCACAGTGCAGGGGAAGCCAACTGTGCTCAGAGAGAGGCATGGGCAGATCTCGGCTTTTGAAAAAGGGCATGCAGAAAGCACAGTGCGCGGTCACATATTACACAACACCCATTTTTCTCCAGTTGAAAAAAAAACTATAAGCTTTGCTAATATTCCAGGGACCTCAGGCTGCCTTAACCAGATTATGATCAAAGCAAAAGAAAAAAAAAAAAAGCAAACTTACTAGAATGTGGATTAATTTGCAATATCGTATATTATGTATAAAATCACAACAAACTAGGCAAAACAATCAAAAGAGGTTGTTTCCTTAGTTCCATAGTTGCTAAAGATGCACCTTTTTCAGATTCATAAAACAAAATCTGGCCCAGAGGCTCTCTCCTCATCCCCAAGCGGTGCACAGCCCCACCTCTGGCAGCCCCCCAGCCCCTCCCTGGCACCCCATCAATGCCTGGCCTTTCTAGCCCTCCCTATTTCCTGTCTCCTGCCACCTCCCCTGCTTCCAATGCTCCCATTAGACAGCATCCTATTCCATGCCCCTCCGTCACGCCATCCTTCAACATCTGCCCCTCCTTTTCATACACCACCGTGACGATTGCTTGCTCCCACTGCCTGCCCTCCACCGTCCTGCCCCCCACCGTGCTGTCATGTCCCCCTCGGCCCATCACTCTCCCAGTCCTATGCCCTGCATCTGCCAGCACCTCCCCTCCAGCCATGCCCCACCCGACAGCCTCGCTCCAGCAGTAGCCTGGACTCCTCCAGCTTACATGGCAAATATTCCTACTATTCCTAGTGTAATGGTGCTCTCCGTATGTGGAAGGGCCATCCTTCATAACAGGTCAACTCCCTAAGCACCCTTCACCCCAACAAAAACCTGTGCAGAGGTCGCTCTCTTCAACAAGGCCAATAAAACAGACGTGGAGCTCGGAGGCCAAACCATTCCAGGGAAAACAGAAGCCTTTTGTCTGTGACGGGGACCTTTTTAAACCCCTCAGCTATAAACTTCTCCCTTAGACCAGCCCCCAATCTCTCTCCCCCAAGGAGAAGATGGGCTGGGTGGAAAAACAGGACAAATGTTTCTAATGGGGACAGCTCCAGGGAGCAGGGGTTGGGTTTCCCCTGCTGAGAACCTGGACACACGATATTTTCAGACCACTGTAAATCACAAAGAGCAGAGAGATGACATCCAGCCCCACATTAGCAGGACTTGATTCTGGGAAAAATCAGGGGTCACACGATGTTGGTATAACTGCACTGGCATATGTGTTATCTGTCCAGAACTTACCCTAGGATAGCTGTTTCCTTCCTTCTCTGCTCTCTTAACACTGACCCGGCACTAGACTAGCACCTTGTGAGTTCAGCTATCTATGGATCACTGCGTGTCTGTCCAATGAGAAGCTCGGTTATTTCGCATCAGTGCACAAAACTGATCTCAACGTACCAGCTGTCCAAGCCCTGATACATCATGGAAGTCCAGGGTATGTCCAACGATTGAAGACCTTATAATTAAGAGAACAAATTTACCCAGAACAGCATGCTGCAGCCTGACACCTGGAGCACCAATAAGACTAGCGAAGGCTATTAATAATCAGCAAAACTTGTCAAAAATTGATTTCCCCATGTTAACAATTCTGGTGATACTTCCACTGATCTAGCATGCCTTGATGCACAGACTTCAGGGCTGGCAAAAGGGCTGGCTTTGGGGATGCACTTTCCACCATCCCTACAAAAACTTGCCGACATCTGGCCAACTCGCAAGCTTCTAGAAAGTCGTGGCTTGAACACACTCAGCAAAGACTTGAGACAGCTTCCCACTGAAATCCCCCCAAATCCTGTCCACATTGAGCATGTGCCAGTGCGGGGCAGAGCGGGACTATCCCTGCCGTTGCAGCTCTGGGTGGATGCAGACCATGCTGGGGCTGAGCCCATCTTCCCAGTGCCCTCAATAACTCTGTTGGGGCAAAGCTGGATGGAGGAGGAACATGCCGAATTCAAGAGGAGACAAGAGGCCAGACTTGTGGAGCGAGGGTGAGGAACTCGTGTCAAAAGGTCCAGAGATGGGACTGGGAGTTGGGGTGTGGAGACAGGAACTGACTGAGCAAGGTGAGGCTGATGCCCAGGGTGTGCTCATGGGGACTGAGACCTGCGGGGATGCTGGGGATGGAAGCCAAGGGAGGGGATGGAGATGGGACTGGCTGGGCAAAGTACACAGGAGCTTGAGGTGGGAAAACCAATAGCAAAGAGAGTGAGAGCAGATGCTGGGAAGACTGGGTTATAGATGGGGAGTCTGGAGGGCAAGGAGACTGGGACTGCTTGTCAGGCTGCTAACCTCAGAGAATCGGACAGCCTAGGTGAGGAGAACAGGACTAAGATGAAGAGCCCAAGATGGAGAAGGAATTGGGCAGGTGAGAAGGGATGAGATAGAAGCAGGTGGTGTGGGGGAAAAAATGAGCAAGGGGGTCCATGTGCTTCACAGCCCTCTTCCTTCGAGGCTGGGATGGAGCCCGCCACCCCGCTGCTCTGAGCGGACACTGAATGCACTGCTGGCGGCATGGAGGACAAAGCCGACCGCCGCTATCAGTTACTCCACCAGCGCAAGCAGCAGGGTCTGTGCAGGAGAGCCAACAGCTCCAACAAGGCCACGCGCTGGGATCGTGGGTTATTTTCATTTCATCATGACCAGCTTCAGAAGGATACGCTCACAAACGACCAACATTAAGAGCACTGTGCAGGTGGCAACGTCAAGCACTCGGGCATCAGGAAGTGCTGGCAAATGCCCACATTACCTTTATTCAGCACCTGCAACTAGCACCGTACCTAGACTCCTGGCAGCCCCGGGTGAACTTTTAGTATTGTGCCTCCCTTTGCCAGAGATAATGATAATTGGACAAAAAAAAAGTTACTCTTTTCGGACCCCCTTTCTGACCGGGCTGTGGGCAGCCGCACAGTTTGCTCATGCCTGCGTCTGGCCCTGCCTGCCATGTGCACAGACCGCCTTTCACAACATGCTCGCTTGCTGCTTTTCCCGCAGGACCCTGCCTCAGTAAGTGCACAGAGTGGACTTGCTCTGGGGAGGAACCGGGGCTGTGTAGTGAAGGAGACTCCTGGTTGTACACCAGCTCCCAGCACCCAAAAAAACCCGGCCACCCAGAAGTAGCCAAGCCTTTTGCCCTTAACTGCTCTGGGCCTCTGTTGTCAAAAGGGTGGGGGACTCAATTCCTAGGGGTGCTGTGATGATACGACCATTAATGTTTGTAAAGCATTTGGAGCAAAAACCCTAGAGGAACTCGGTCGTACGGTCTTCGTGGCAGGGTCTGAGAAGCGTGCAGTAGGTAAGGGAGGGCACTGAGGATCAAGAGCTGCTAAAGGCAAAGGCTGCCCGTCCTGTGCACTGAAAGAGGCAGGGTCCTGTAGGAGCAAACGGTATGTGCTGGGCATCTAACCCTGCTTCACTTCCTGGCTGTAGGTGCCCGACTTGGCAGCCTGAGTGATGCCCTCTTACTGCCAGGCTCTACCCTTAACCATGCTCTGAGAAAGCACGTCTGGAACCACAGCTCGACTCCTCCACATCCAGGTGTTGTGCCGAGAGCTAATCCTAGTGCTTGCATGCCACCCCCTTCAGCAGAGCTTGGACAAGCATCACCAAGGCCCAAGGCAATGGTACAAGATGTGAAAGAGCTGGCAACAGCCAAAGAGCTGAAGGTGTGCGTTGGAGTATCCATCCCATGCCAGTGGTGGGTCTGGATGAGGTGGGGCTGAGAGCGCCCGGCCACCTGAGCCTGGTGACCTGCTCCAGAGCTGGGGGTTTGCCCATGACACTGCCCTGGGTTCAGCCCCAGAGCAACCTCCTGCGTGAGCTTGTGGGTCTGGTGCACAGCAGTGGACTCGCTCAGTCTTACCACCCCCCACCCCCCCAGCCAAACTGCACCCTAGTCACTGACCCGCAGAGAGGAATAAGGACCCTGCCACTAGCCGTGCAAGGTACCAGTCTCTCGCAGCAGGGGCAGGGATAGGTTTTATTAAGTGGGGAAAACCCCAGAGAAGCCACCTCATATCCAGCCCCATTATAGGGCAAGCAAGCCAGGGAGGGCCCCTGCTACGAGGGGCATGTCCTCTGAGAAGGGATACTCAGGGGGCAGGGCCATTCAGGAGCCCCCTGGAAAAATAGCATCCTGCGACCTTCACCCCTCTACTCCCCCGATCTCTAAAACCACATCCCCTTCCTCAGGCCTGCATTTATGAGGCTCAGGGACATGAGTCCCAGTTCTGGGGTGTGTGACTGATTTATTTGGGCCCCCAAACTCCTCCCTGCCCCTGCAAACCAGGTCCATTTATTGGGTGTCAAGTTGGACACTCCAAAAAAAAAAAAAAACCCAAAAAAACAGCACCACTGGTCACGCTTGAAAAACCCTGGCTCATGTATGTCGTCTGCAGGCTGCTGCTATTATTGCAATATCTGCACTGCAGTAGTGCTCGTCTGACTTGGTAGGGATCAGGGCCCTGTTGGGATGGGCATCGGACCTGTATGGTATAGCACAGCCCTTGCCTTGATGAATTTGCAAAGCAAAGAGTGCAACACCTGGGAAATGACGTGCCCAGCTCAGGGGAGAGCTGAGATTGCAACCTGCGTCTCCAGACTCATTAACCAGCACCCACTCCTGCACCGGCTGACTTTCGGCTCTCCACTTATTACAATACTCTGACTAATGACGACTCTCAGCGCTTGTTGTTCACTACTGTTTTGTCTGCCGTGGGACAGAGAATGCAAGGACGGTGATAAATGCGCTGGCTCCATGGCTTCGCGGCGGTGTCTCTCATCACGCCGTACCCTTCACAGAAGTGCTAGGCCCTGGGCTGGCTCCTCCGACGCAGGCACACAGTCCCACTATAGCCAACGCTCAAGCTGGGCTGAAGGGAAGGCTGTCTTATCTACACGACAGCTGAAGGAACACATTACTTATGCTCTGGCCAGCAAATGAACCAGCAGGCTCCCTGCTGAGACGGTGGGAGGGAGCTGTAGATAATTTATCCTCAGCGCTCACTCCGGCTGGGCATCCAGCCCTGTGCCTTACACCTGCCAGGTAGGAGAGATACAGTCCCCACTCTGCAGGGTTTACCACCGCATTTTGGGTACGAGCCCATGCAGACTCGCATGGGGGAACAGCATAAGGGATCTTTACGAGACGCTGACTTTATACAGCAAGGCTGTGCAGAAGCCGTCGTACTGCATGAAACAGTAGAAGGGTCCTCTCTGGCTTTTCTCATCCCATCCCCGTCATCAGCGCGGGCCAATTTAGGATTTCCCAGCACATGCAGTGTAGATACACCCCGACCCCTCCTCCCCACAGCAAGAAGAGGCCACTACTATGGTGTTACCTTCACCAGGCCATTAGGAAGAGTAATCTTTACAGCAGGCAGCTCCTGAGGACAGGACTACACCTTAAGTGGCATGAAATACCTACCCATCCAGAAGGGCAGCACGGTGCACAGATATACGTGACTGCACCTGCCTATATTTATTAAATATTATTATTGTTACTGTTATTTTAATACATTGATGTCGAGGTTCTAACCTGAATCTTTGGCTTTCAACTTTTACCATTTTTAACCTTTTAGTGAATGAGGCGTTATTGATCTTAAAGCAATGGGAAATTAATAATATATGAATAAGGGATAAGCATTATGAGGAGCCTGACCCAGCAGCTTGAACAATTACCGAGGGTGCACATCATCCCTAAACCAGTTTTGCTTGCCCCTGCGGACGGTGAAATCTCCCAGGAACAAAGAGCTCCCAGAGAATGGCCACACCTTGCCTTGCACATGAGAGCATACCTGGGAACAGAGATGCGGCCAAAACTTCCTTCCCCCCAGGGTCTAGCAGCTGGAAAAGTCTCTTGGGAGCCAGGGACAGTCGGCACAAATTACAGCAGCTTCCAGGCTGGTCCAAGCCATAGGATCTGGAGCAGGGTAGGACCGTGCTTAAATCCAATAGCTACAAAGTCGACTTAAATTCAGCTTGGCAACACCCTGCCATGCTAAAAAACACACCCCATCGACAATGACTCTCCATGACCTGAAACCCACCAGTTAGCCAGACTTTAATCCATGTAATGTGTGCCACACTAATGTTGTGCCGTTCAAGTTCCTTCCTCAGCACACTGTCCTACAGTACCAAGGCACGTCCCTTAAAGAAAGTCTAAATATATCAGCACTACTATCGTACTACTTCTTAAACAAGTTTGTCACCTCATCCGGAACAGGTATCAAGCTAGGTTAACAGACTGCGTTTTCCATAAACCTGTACTGACTGGTATCAATCCTATTACTCTCCTTTAATTCTTTATTGAGACTGCTATCATCACTTCCATAATCTTGCTCACACTCAACATCAGGCTGACAGAACTATACATTTTTGGATCACTATTTTCTTTTCTTTGATCCTGGGAAAGCATAAGATCTCTCCCAATCTTCTGAAACTTCTCCAGTATCCCAACAGTTATGGGAGAATCCATGCTAATAGGTGAGAAAGCTCCTCAGACAGCTCTTTTACAACTCTTGGCTGCAAGTTATTTGGACCTGCTATTTTTTTTTTTTTTTTACATATTTAACTTTCTGTAGCTGCTGTTTTACATTCCCAGGGATTATTACTGAAATGGTATTTTAGCATCATTCTCATAACATCTGATGAAGTAGGTTGTTGCCTATGAAAGTGCATGCCTCTTTGAATAAGGTGGTCTCTAAGGTGCCACCCTGCCCTTCATCATCATCATCTGGTGACAGCTACATCCCCTGGCTTTTTCCTAAACACAAACCAGAAATATGTATTGAATACTCTGTTCTCCTGCCCCAGCAACCTACACTAGAGTAGATACAAGAAGTGATGCAGGCTAAGATAGTCCTATACACCGCAAACAGCCACACACCTTGTGCAGCCATGACCTTCATCCTACAAGCCACCTCTGCCTACGTAGAGGCCCCACCGAGGTCAACAGTACCCGCTCACACTGAATGGCTGGCTGGCCTGAGGTCTCTGCTTGCATGAGAGCACTTATTTCACAATGCTTTTCAGTGTGGTGACTGTGAGATAAGCAACCACCTTAGCCAAACCCTGACTCTGTAAAACCAGGTCCAGACAGCAGTTTGTAAAGACGATGTCATGCCTCGTATAGCCACATTTATCGGGAAATGCTGTTACGAGCCAGAGTGCACACTAGACCGCTGGAAACACAGATTTTATTGGTAGTTAAAATTTAAAAAAAGTTAAAAAGATGAATACAGATTTTAACGGTACCACCTTAGCGGGTCTTGAGACAGAATCCCTCTTATTTTTCTCAGGACCAAATTCTGATTTTTACGGCTTCCTGAACAACCTTGGTGGCATTTCTACTACAATTGGGGCTTCCAGGACTGCCCAGCAAGACCCCAGATTTGACCCCCTGCCGGAGAATTTTTAACAGCACTCGACCCCTGTAAGAAGCAACCTCACGCACGCACACATCATGCCCGAAAGAGAATATTACAAACAATGAAACAAATGCAATGCAGGAGAAGAGCACACACCAACTGCTGAAACTTCCTCAGTCTGATGAAGGGTTTTTGAACCCGAAAGCTTACTTAAAAGTTGTTTTCCAACTATTTTAAGTTGGTCTAATAAAAGATCAGATTCACCCAAAGAACCTCGTCTGCCTGTGCACAAGAAATGAACTTTTTAACCTCCTTCAGAGGGCTGATATAGGATTGATTTTCATTAAAGTTTCTCCTCTCCTTTAAATTAGGAGGCTGCTCTTAAAATCTTGACTGTTCAGTCCCAAGAGTCTGCATGAGGCTGGCAGCTGGGACAATGACAACAGCCCTCAGGACAGGTCCGCTTGGGTTTCACTTTCACTTTCCGGTCCTCATGCCCTTCCCTGCCCTGCAGCAGGGGCTGGGTGGCAGCAGGTGTGAAGCGGGCGCACGGACGGAGGGGTGCATTCGAGCCCACAGGCACCCCTCTCCGGCCCATTTTGCTGAACGGGAAAAAATGGGTTTGCAGTCGGGGAATCGAGCCGACTTGGATATAAATTGCCTACTGCTGTTCCCAGCCTTTGCCGAGCTGTCTCCTCCCTGCTGAGCCAGTCCTGGAAAGCACCTAGGCCACTGCGGGTGGAAATGGAAAGAAGCGCTAAATAATGAACCGTGGGACGGCTCGGGGCCTCACTTACCAGGAGGAAGCGTCGGCGACGATGGTGCGAGTCTCTCCTCCAACCCCACCTTACCGCCTCTGGGGGGTCTCGCATCTGTGGGCACAGAGGAGCCCTTCGTGGTCCACGCTCCAGGGATGGCGCGCGAGGGGACAGCCCTTTAGCGGACACCACTGCTGCCAGCCCCGCTCCTGCTCCTGCTCTGCCGGGTGCTCCAAGCCAAGCTGACCCCTGCCAGGTGTGGGGGCAGCCGAGATGCCCCTACCACGGCCTGGGTTTCTCCCTGTGCCCACGGGAATCGCCCTTGTAGCAAGAGAGATCTCTGAGCAACCCCCACAGCAAGGATCCCAGAGCCCCCTAGAGCCAGGGGATCCCCAAAATGCCCCTAGAGCAAGGGGGATTTCTAAGCTTCCCTTATAGCAGTGGGATGTCCCTATAGGAGGGAGGGTTTCTGAGCTCCCCCTATAGGGGGGGATCCCTGAAATGCCCCTATAGCAGGGGGATCCCTTAGATGCCCTTGTAGCAAGGGGATTGCTGAGCTGCCCCTATAGCAGGGGGATCCCACAGATGCTCCTATAAGAGGGAGGGTTTCTCAGCTCCCCTATAGCTGTGGGATCCCTGAGGTGCCCCTAGAGAAGGGGGATCCCAGAGCTTCCCCTACAGCAGGGAGGATTTCAGAGCTTCCCCTACAGCAGGGGGATCCCTGGGGGTGCCCCCCGGGTCCCTCAGCCCGCCCGGGCCCGCGCTCGGGG